CCTCCTCCCCCTCACTTCTAGCAAATCTCAAGAGGATTCGCTTACTGCCGCACCCCACCGTACCCCGAAAATAAGGTAAGGCGAGGTACCAAGAGATCGTCTCGATAAGCTGGGAATAATCCTTCTTTCAGATTCAGAATTTACGCATTCCAAAAATTCCGCGGAATTCCCGGAATGCAGCCTTCGCGAAATACCTGGAATTTCGCTACATTCTCGCGACAGAACCGCTAGGTTTAGCAGAATCGAAAGAACTCAATCCTTACCTGACCAAGATAGATTTCATTCTTGCAATACTGTTCTGAACTCATATCTGCGAAAAGGTCATAAGAAAGCTGGTACTACTTCAGAACGCTTCTAAGGCACTGTTCGCTCAGTCCAATCTGAGGATGGCTATATTTTGTTTTATTCAAAAGATGAAATCCAGAGTTAGGAATCTTCTCTAGATGGTACAGTCAGCGCTTCCGCATCGTTGGAGGCTTCGCAAGCGCACGGTACAGGCATTTTGCCACACAAAGACAGATAAACGAAGAGACGCACATGGGTCTCAACATAAATAATATGATGTACCTAGCAAGAGACGCACATGGGTCTTAACATAAATAATATGATGTACCTAGCGGCGGACCTTTGCGTAGCAAACTCCCGCCAGTCCAGTCTCCTGGTTTGAACCCACTGTAAAAACGGCCAAGCTAGCTCCGCCCATCTGTCAACAAGCGGGCTTTGAAGGCAGCCTCCGGGCAGATATGAAAATTTAGCGTGTAGGGGCTCCAGCATTGATAAAGCTCTAGCTCTAGTGGCATTGCATCACTTCGCTTCTGAAGCGAGAAAACCGCTTCAAAAGTGGCGACCGGGAGCCCCAGCGACTTGCCCGCCCCTTCAATTGATAGCCAGAGCCTGCATGTCGCACGCGGTCAAGATGTAGAGTCCCAAAACGACTCTGCGTCTTGACCTTGGCGGCAAGCTTTCATATTCGAAAACAACAGCATCTGGAACAGCTCGTTTTCGACATTTCCGTACTCTGCAAGCTGCATTTTCGGAGTCAGCGGGAAGAATAAGCCCTGGTAAGCGGAAAAAGTTTCCTTCGAAATTTTGACCGGACGCTGCCTCCTGAAATGTCACAATTCGCTCTTTAACCCAATTATAAATTTTTTTCACTTTTTAATCCAAAATAAAGACTTCCGAATTTATTAATCTCCACCCCCATTGATGGTAGAAAATTTCAGAGCGATTCTCTCGCTTTGAAGTTCATCTATTGCAGCGAGACTTGTGCGATTACTTAGTTAGGAGCTTCACTATTAATAGCATTTGCAGCATCGTCATGCTTTGAGGGTGTGAAGTCTCTAACGAAGGAGTATTTAGGCTTTGGTAGTTAGTAGGTGTTGGTGACGCTAGTAGGATATATTGGGTGAGATCAAGTAACTAAGTTATGCATGTTTTGGTTCAACTACTTAGTGCAAAATAACTTGTCGTATAGATATACTTGAAGTACTGTAACTTCGCTTGATCAGTATCCTTGAGCGCAGTAAGAGAACTTTCTAGGCATGTTATTGGCATTGTTTTGCTGGTATTGATACTGCAAATGATACAAAATACAGGACATTCAAACATCAAACCCACTTTGATGCTCTCGGTAGTGACTCATGAGATACATGAGATAGCGAACACTGCATGAAGAAGGTGACAAGGTGTTTCTAGAGAAGTCTAGGAAGTTTTTGGAGCAGAGTTGGATCGCTTACTTTTCTGTCTGTATTCGTGGGGTTGTAGAAATTTCAAATGCTTCTTTGTATAGCAGCTTTTGCGAGTTTTCTCATCAAAACATTCATGAGCTAAAATTGTTCATAGCAGTCAAACAAGTTCAAACTTTTCTTTCTTAGTCTTAGCAACACTCAAAGCATTAAAAGAAACACATCTACACTTCTCCTTTTCTGACACCTCTATTTTGACATTCTGGAAACTTCTCGTTTTCTACTTAACAGGTAAGGTATATGACTCGCACTGGAGTTTTCCTATGAGGCCTATATCACTCGAAAGGTTTTTGAACGCTGTTTTCAAAACAACTTTCCATATCTGCTTATCGGTTTGCTGAACAAAGTTGAAGGCATTTTTTCGCGTCCAATTTGCATGGTCGGGTACTTTGTAAATGACCTAAATTCGTGGTAAATGCAAATTTGGTCCGAACTTACATGCCCAAATGTCAAAGATACATTTATCGTGCATAAAAAAATTGATGGGATTAGTTTCAAAGCTACTCTGCCGCCTTAGTCCTGCAATGAGCAACGTCATTTGAAGCTAAAGAAAGACCTGTAACTTTCTTCAGTAAACCGATAAGCAGACATGGAAGTTTAAGATCAGCGCTCAAAGACCTTTTAACTGATATACACCTCATAAGGAAATTGCTTCTGCGAGTCATATACCTTCCTTGTTAGCTCTTAGATCGTAATCTGTCGTCGTTTTCTTAGTCTTGGAACCCTTCGAATAAATAAAGCTACGGACTGAACTGAAAGTGCTTAAGGAATCGCATGCGAAAGTTCAGATTACTGGGTGCAACCCTGCACAAAGGCGTTTATAAAAAGCATTAAGGGGGAACACGCATCCGTTCCGCTTAATAAGACTGTTTCTAACAATAAGGTTTTTCCGGTATTTTGCCTCAATATCTATGGGGTCTATGGTTGCTTATGAATCCACACAGTAGAGCCAAAAAATTTGCTTTTGCGCGCTAGATGCCACTGTGCAGTGGCGCACCGAGGGGGGAGGGGAAGGGGGGCGCCCTTCCCACGAAAACGGGTCGCGAAATTTTTGAAAGTCGTTACATGGGTTATAAAATTGTGCAAATGACTTGTTAATACTTGTTAAAAATTAAAATATTTTTTAAAATTTTTTGAAGATTCATTTCACCCTTATCAAAAATTTTCCGGGGCGCGGCTGACGCCACGCCCTTTTTCTAAAATTTCGGGGTTATGAAGGTGCGAAAATTTTAGAACGCATAAACAAATTTTCGGAGTACATGTGGCTAACGCCACGCACCTTCATTAGAGTTTTTTGTCCCCCCCCCCCTCTCCCCGAGCCGAAATCCATGTTACGCCACTGCCAGTGTAGTACCAACAAACACCTTGCGACTACAACCAGAGATTTGCGCTACTTTTAATGTTTCGTATAGATAGAGCTGCGGGTTATGATGATTGTTCGTAATACTTGAAAAGAGAATTCAGGTGTAGGATCAAAAACTTCGAACTCTGCTAGAAAGGAGTAAGAATGCGATTGCGATAATCATGGAAAAACATTGAAAGGGTGAGATGTTTTGTCATTTAGGCAAACTAGGAGAAGGCATATGCCACCACTGCGAAAGAATTTGAGGGTGGAATAGCATCTGATGGCAATTTTGAGAAAAGGACACATGTAAGGAAAGTCTGGCTGCGCCATCTAGGGAATGCGAGAAGTGAGGAAGCTATAGTGTGAAAAAAGCAAGACAGAACTGTACTCCTAACATGTAAATTGCAAGAATGATTATGGCTTTCGCATTGCTGATGGGAAGGTAATTGAAAAAAAAAACTTTGTACTTATAAGAGAGGTGTAAAACATTGCATTATCGGCACTTTTTCGTCATCCGGGCCAATTTTTTCAAACAACTATTACAAGTTATGCGCTTTCTTCTGTAAACTATTCTTCATAAGTTCTATAAGGACTGCCACTTGCCGCTTGTCAGGAAAAAACTGACAAGTCGTATGGGTTCAGTTTGACCGTTTTGTTGCAAAATCTTTTCCGGGGAGGTAGGACAGCATTTAATTAGAAAACTGTTTGGTTGTTATTTCTACAAATAAATTGCTCTCAGCAAATGATTCAAAATGTCTTGCTTCCCAAATTGTTTTCGCCGCAGCCAGGAAAGAACTAAATGATGGTACAGAGTACCTCACTGCCGCTCATGTGCTTTTGGACTTGTTGAATCAAAAATGGTTTCTAATGTTGAAAAAGGAACATCTCGAACTGTGGATGACATTGCGATTTTTATGACATTTGGAAGGGTTTCTCTTTCTGTGAAATGTCACAAGAAACAAGTCAACCTTTTTTTTTGAAGCAAACAAGTTCACATCACGAAAAAATACAACACTACCTATAATGCGACCGTGGGTCCCCGGAGTAATAACACGGAATTGAACTTTTAACCACAAAACCGCTCAAGAATACAATATCAACAAAAACAACAGCTTGATCTCTTTGATCTCTTCATCTTCGTGCCTCAAAACAGATAGTTTTATCATTTAAAAAAATGATCCACCGCTAAATGTATGAAGTCATCAAGGTTGCAAATGATGTGCTTTGTAATCAATCCTGCTTTGGGACTGTACAGTCAACATAACATTGAGTAAAGTGATTTCAAGAAAATGTTCACATTCAGGAAAACACAAAGAAGTCTTTTTGATCCACTAATTCTTGAGTAGTGATGCTGTATGTTTGTCAAATTTGGACTTTTTATTGCTCATAGCTTTTCCAAAAAACTTTAGTTGTTTTTAGTCGTTCAAGAAACTTACTTGTGTCTTCGATAAATGTGAGCATTTTTTGAAAGCAATACACTCCGCTAATCATGCACTCCCAAGTTGGATTTTAAAGCGCATTATGTATTAGAATCTTAATGACTTCGTATCTTTGACCGCTTTTTCACAAAGAACGGCCTCGCAGATAAGGAAGGTAGATTCGGATTCAAATGCATTTAATGATAGTGGTTCACTCCAATTCGTCACCTAAAATTCGGATCGTATACTTGTAAGGTTTGCATGAATGTTATTTTATGCTGGCGAATGAATTCCAAATTTGAATGTTACTATTTACTGCAAGATTTGTTTTTCAAGAAAGCTCAAGAACGCTGAAAGCGACATAGCAATCTCGCTTCATCAATGTCCTTTCATCAAATGTGCAAAGATAAAAGTAATTAATTTATTATTTCTGAAGAATTTGCATTGGATTTTTACGATATCATACAAAAAATTCAAATTTGAACAACAAATCACGCTATGTGATATTAGAGCATAACAATATGCTAATCAGTGCAGAAAAGACAACAGCAGAATTCACGTTACTTTTTTGGCACTCGTCACCAATTTTCTTAGCGACGCTTCTTTCCGGAGCACAGTGCTGCTCACCACAAATCTCTGCGCATTTGGGGCAGATAATGCGAGTTGATACTGTTCCGATACCATGTAACCTCTGCAAGACTAGTAGATAAACTGGTCAACTTTTATTAGTTATGCTGAGACGTATCTAGATTTTCTACTTTCAATCTGTTTTTAGAGGTGCGATGGTTGCGATCTAGAAGCTTTCACATGAAGATTTCAAAACAACTTCAACTGCAGCGCGTACATAAAGACAATGGAGCAGAAATAATCAACAGACCTTTTTGACATGGATTAGTTGCCCCTGTCTATAACATGGGTAGAACTTAGATTTTTGAGTCTTGATAAACAGCAAGTTCTTGTCGCACAGTGTCTGAATAATGTCTAATAATAAGCATATCGTAATGATGTTATGCAGATAAGGACGTTTAGGGCTCCATCACTGCCTGCTCAAGCAAAGAAAAACAATGAGCTTCAGAGATGAGAAGCCAAATAATGGCGCATTATGCCTTTCTACCCTGCTTGTTTCTCACATCGAAATTTTTCTACTTACTATAAAATCATATTTGTAAAAGTGCATATTTGACATTTAGGGTAAATTATCATGACTTATATTAGGGTGAACGGTAAAAAATGGGACAGCTTGATTTTCATTACATTTTGGAATTTTTTTGTTTCGGGCAACAGCAAGTAAGCGGCAACTTAAACGTCGCTTACATGAGCGACCTTCGCTTATTATTCTGACAACGCGTTAACGCTCCTCTTCCACTACCCTACACGTGGCGCCGTGAAGAACTCGAACAGGGTTTTTCGAGCAATCCTCAATCTTGCGCTGTTATACCGTAAAGTCGTAAAGCAAATGACATACCATTCGAAAGAGCTCTTCATGCTCTTTCGAACGATATGTTAAATGCGTGAGATTTCTTTTCAATTTCAGGAGAAAAAATCGAACAAACCTGAAAAATAGCTATTTTTGGCGCAACAAAAAACCAAAAAATCATGTTTTGCCCTATATTTTCCGAAGATAGATGAAATCTGAGGTAAGCTGCATATGGGTGGATAGAGCGTAAAAAGCTCTATCAGATGATACCTAGAAATCATGCGTTTACCTGCAAAGAATTGAATAACGCGTATCTTTGTTCTCGAAGCTGTTAATGGGCATATCTCCTGACATGAAGAGTTAAAGCCACCAAGCCGTCATGGGTTTGGTGACTGTCCCACCACCCACTCCAGCAGTGGTACTTTGGGTGGTCTCACATGTTTTAAGGCGCCGATACTGCTCAAACTTCATAAGTAACTAACTTTGCATTTTAGCAAGTATAAAAATTATCATTTATTTAAATGACCTTATATAGGTGCTATCTGAAAGAGAATAATTTATGCTAATATCCATCAAAATTGGAAAGTTCAGTCACTTTTCTTCCTTGAGAAATCTGCAATTATTCTCAAGGTGTCCCATTTTTTACCGTTCACCCTAATAATAAGCCGCTAATTTGTCGGTCTGTAATTCTGTCTGTTACGAAATTACAGTGAGGAATGATTTACATTGCTTAAATGCATGTGAGAGTTGCAAAGCAAGTTCGGTTCATTTTTGTAATTCTTTGCGGTCTCCTCCATCAAAGAATGATGAAGGCCAAGATCATTACGTAAGTTTACCTACACCATGATGGCCAGTGCGAACCTCTGCGAAGCAGAGGTGAAGCACTGGTAGATAGTTGAAAGGCGATAAATGCTGCTGGTCTTAAATCAGTTCGACGAACTCTGTTTAAAAAATTACGATTGTTTCAGCGTTAGTTTAGGCCAAATTTAGGTGGCGAAGTTCCGTTTCACGGAATTTTTCACGTTTTGCGTCTCGCGAATACAACAGGTCCATCTCCTCATGCTCTTTGATTTTTGTGGTCTACGACCGATCAAAATAGAAAGTGAAGCTTCATGTACAACAGGTCAAATGGTACGGTGTGAGCGCAGGGCTCGGCACGAGCTGGCACCAGGGAAATTTCAAAACGAAGTCCCGTTTGATATTGAAAATTTCGTACAAAGTTCCTTTTGACCTCTTTTGAAAACCCGTCATCATTTTTATATTATGTAAAAAAATGTAGTAGTGTTTTCATGCACTTTTGATTTCATGAAAGAACTTTTCACAGCTTTCTGAGCTTTTTAAGTGGTCGAATCACATCTTGTGAAGCAGAAAAAGCCGATTTTTCGACGGCGTAGCGGACCGAGTGGTTTTCAAATTGCTATAAAACGCTGAAAAGAGAACATTATGAAACTGTTTCTTCTCCGTATGTAATCTTTTACAGTGTAGATACATTTTATGTAAAAAAGTATGAAAGCTTCTGTGAGCAAAGTGTCGGTGCCAGCTCAGCTGGTACCCAGCTGGCACGGTGCCAGCTAATTCAGAAAAAAGTTGGCACAGCTTTCATTCACATAAGTTTTCATAAATTTTTGGCCCATAGTTCCGGTCCACCAACGCGCATGCACGCACCAAGTTTGGTGTCATACTATTGCGTTTTGGCTGAAAACAACGCCTTTGTTTGTTGATGGACACCTTGCCAATGGCATGCCGGTGGCATGCGCGCATTTTTGCGGCAGTTCTCCGCCTCGGTCCCTGTAGAAACGATATTCCCTTTGCTTTCCCGCTAAAAACGATATCCAGCTTGACCCGGTGCCAGCTGTGCTGAGCCCTGTGTGAGCGTGTTCACCACAAACAAAAGGTGAAAGATCCCAATACTTGGGTCAGCTGCGACTTTTTGTACTTTATTCAAAGACAGTTTTTTCTCCAAAAAGAGACCTTTGTAATTGCGAGTGCAGAATTGATGTTAGCATGTGATATTCAAGCCGGTCGATATTATCTCGTTCCAGATGGCCATTTTGACGGGTAGGACTGTTACTATCTTCGTTAGCTCCTACTCCTTTAGAGAACGACCATGGGTTGCCGGCATTGGTTGCCGAGGTTGCCGGCGTTGCTGAGGTTGCTGGATTTGCCGGCGTTGCCGAGGTCGCTTGGTTCTCACAGAATACTGATTCATTTGGAAGCTGAAATTGGAAAAAAAACTCATGAGACAGATGAAAAGAGTCGGGATTTTGCCTCGGAAGTAGACTAAGCATTCGCGTTTCAGCCGTAAGCAAGCAAATTTGATTATTTCGGTACTTGCGGAAAAAAAATTAGGCGGCATACATTTTTGTACTTTGCAAACAAACTCTGTGTTTAATACATCAATGATTACAATTTCTACTTTTACGGCTGAACACAGAATTTGCAAGAGTAGTTATGCATGTCTCGGCACACAGCAACTTGCGGCAGTGTCAATTTACTAAACAAAAAGTGGTTTGAAATTACATGTAAATATTGGAAGGTGTTAAAATCTAGGAGTACATACATACACATATACCTAATACCAATCACTCATATGTTGAGGAGTATGGTAATGGTTTGCTAACCTCGTAGCAACCTGCTGCGTGTGTCCAAGTTGTAGATCCGTATGTATTTCTAACGTTGATACCGCCATCTAACTCGATGCAGCGAGCCGTTGGAGAAAACACCTAATAAAACTTTCAGTAGTATGGACAAAAATTAATCCCAACCTCGAGAGAGTAGTTGATGTAGTTCATGTTGAGCGGAAGGGTGCATCGTGTATCAGAGTCTTCTCTTGAAATGTCGTTGTACACCTTGAAAAGTCATAAGTTGCTTCTCCCGTACACACACCCTCTTCAACTAATTGTGAACTGTAAACAAGTGATTCTGTGTTCGCTTTCAGCTCAGTGTTATCAATCGGAGTAAGTTTTTTTTTCAGGATCATGTAAAGCGTTTGAGCATGCATCAGGAGTTGAGAGGTTGAAAACGTTAAAATTGCTGTAAAATGCTTTGCATAAATTATTTAAATTCAATAAATTGATTTTATAGAAAACAGTAGACTAACAACAAAAGTTTGCCTTAAAAACCTGCTGGAATAATAGAGCTTTAGTAAGAGGTCTTCTACTCTCTACTCACATGTGTGAAAATTTAAAAATAACGCTTTTTAGTTTGACAAGAAACTTTGAATTTTTTTGTCATACTTTTCACAATTATACGTAGTAGTCATTTTCTTTTTCAGAGAATAAAACCTTTATTAATGAAACCGTTCACGCGCCTTTCGCCGCTCGCCATTCGTGCCCGTGTTAAAATTGTCAGTCTCAAAAATTAGTTGCTCATTTATATAATCACCAGTGCGTCACCTCTGCTTCGCAGAGGCTCGCACTGGCCCTATTTTCTGTATGCGTTACTCATTCCCGCATAATAATGACATTGAAACTCATCGCGCTATGTAGGCTTAGGCTATCACGAATAATTCGTAAACAACTACTCATTCGTAGAGGTTTTCCATGTGAGGTCGGTATTTTCGCATGGATAAAATCTTTCTTAGAAGAACAGATGCAAATTCGAATAGGCTTTTGGAATTTTTATGGATTGGTAGTCGCCGTAAGGACAATAAACATAGTGGACTACACCTCTGTGCGAAAATCTTCTCAAATAATCAGGTAAAATCTTGAAAAATTGACCATCGAGCAATCAATACTTTTCGGCGTCGTTTTTGTAAAGTAGTGGACTTTTGATCCCTTTTTCGGAGCAAAGCCCATGGCTTGCACACTGAGATGCTAAGCACATCCACGACTCTGCAAAAAGTGGTGAAAGTATGAAAGTGGATGATGATGCTTCGCAGAGGATCGCACTGGTCCTACTCTATAGTTTTTGAGCAATATCTCCTCTTAAGAAAGGCAAAGTGTAGTACGTCCACAGCAGGTACTGGCTGTATGCACCCCATGAATATGGCGCATCCATGCTTGTCCTCAGAGCTAAACAGCGCCCTGCCTCATCTCTCAATTGCTTTGAACCTCCCCGAAAAATTCTGATCGGGAAGAATATGATGTAAACAACCATTCATTCTGCGAGGTTTTCATGTGAAACCGGTAAAATTAGCGTGGCGAAACTTTTTGGTGAACGGTTAGTGTAATTTTGAATCCGTTCTATCAATGCGATGTTGGCTAATTAGAACAACAACAGATGCACGCTACATTCCCAGCCTAGAATATTTCCAGCTATACAGTGAGTGTTTTGAAAAGTTGAGTCATCTCTTTTTGACGCCACTTTTGCACGAAATTAACTTTTTGCTATGTATCTGCGATGAATTCCAGGGCTTAGAAGATGTCCAAGTTAAAAGTCTTACAGTTACTGCAGACTCCTTGCATTAGGATCTCATTTTTGCCTTAGCAAATGCCTGGTGGATCCGTTTGACTCGCGATTTTCAACCGAAACAGATTCGCTCACTTCTTTACATAATCAACCTGGGTGCTGCTGGCGTGCTATAGCCAAAAATCAGCTCGAAATCTTGGCTGCAGCTTGCGCTACGAATTACACTGATTCGCAGAGGCTCGCTGTGTCCTACTCTGTACGCCTTACTCATTCATGCCTTGTGATGGCATTGAAACTCACCGGACGATGCCGAATATCACGAATAAAATGTAAACAACTACTCATTCCAAAAGCTTTTCCATGTGAGAACGGTAATTTTGAGAGGATGAAATTTTTCGCAGAAGAACAAATGCAAATTTGAATAGGTTCTTGAACTTTTTCTGGCTAGGTACTTGCTATAAGGACAATAACACTCTGAGCCACATCTCTGTGCAAAAATCTTCTCAAATGCTCAAGTAAAACCTTGGCAAATCGACCATCAAGCAATCAATACTTTTCGGCGTCGCTTTTGTAAAGTAGTAGACTTTTGATCCCTTTTTTAGAGCAAAGCCCATGGCTTGCACATTGAGATGCTAAGCACATCCACGACTTTGCAAAAAGTGGTGATATGGATCCGATATGCGAGCCGAAAGCCAATTGGACCCGGCTGACGCGCAATTTCTGAGGGATCCACCTAACAAATCCGCTCGTGCTTTCGCATGGTGGACTTTTATACTGGTAGCATGCGCTATGCAAGATTTGGGCTCAGGACGTTGGCTGGAATTCGCGCTATGAATTTCGTAACAGACAGACATTCAGACACACACACACACACACACACACACACACACACACACACACACACACACACACACACACACACACACACACACACACACACACACACACACACACACACACACACACACACACACACACACACACACACAAAAAAAAACGTAAACACCCTTAGCGCGTTACTATAGTAGGATCAATTTCGAGCTAGTGCAAGGGATGTTCTAGGCTTTCATTTGTATCTGTATTTCATGCTTTTTAAGCTAACGATAAACTTGGCCAAGTAAAACAACAACCTTGGCATTAAAAAAACCAAAAAAAATAGTTGCTCTGATGTAAACGCTGCTAATTGCTGTTATTTTGGTTTACTAACCCTGTAATATGGGCAAAAATCTGCTAGTTCTATAGATCCATATCCGTGCACTGGATTTCCTTTCGCATCTACGTATAAGTTGTTTGCATTGTAATTGAATTTGCTTTCTACGTTTTTCTTCTTAGTGTCCAAGTTGCAACGCACTTTTGCTTTTCGAGTATCAGTACATCTGAAACTAAACTAATACGACTCCAAAATCATTTTTTGTTCCTTACCTCATGTCTCCGTATACTCTGCAAAATGGATATGGATCTTTGGAATGTGTTTTGATCCAAGTCATGCAGCTTTGTTTTGCAAAGCTGCATCCCAATCCCTTTCCAAAAGTCATGTTCTCGGCTTTTCCAAAACTGATTTATCATTTCTTTGCACATGGCAAAAAAAAGTACAGCAACGTACTCGTAATTTACTTTATACCATCCTGAGTCTTCGAAAAGTGCCAAAGTGATACGACTGATCGCGAAAACTTGTGTTGTTACACCCGTCATTGCTTCATTCTGCAAAGAAACTCTTATACAAAATTTAAGAAAATGTTGCAGTTTAATATTAGGAAATATTATACAAGTTGTATTTGAGGCATATACACACTTACTGTCATTTTCTCATTATGAGGTTATCAAAGGCAACAAAACTTATCAGTAAGAAGATAGCAATCCGCGTTTGTAACGCCGAGCATAAGTATGTTTGTGATAATGTGAATTTGAGCAGTTCACGCGGATAAATCATTTTGGCATTCTAGACGCTTTTTGCCGACAATACAGGGAGATAAAGAAATGCTCTGGCAAAAATTTTTTGAGTATTTTCCAATTTCAGTTTTACAGTGTTCTTATACGAACACCCTATTTGAGCTTGATGTTTTAGCTTGAATCTTCTTCAGCAAAGTGAACTTAGTAGTCTATAAACTATGTAAACCATCAGACACCTCGTTTCAAGTATAAATTTGCCTCATCGTAAGCGGATAGTCGGCAACTTATCAATATTCACAAAGAAGAGCGTGAAAACAATTCGCTCATTCTAGACTGTGAGCGTTACAGATTAGTATTACACGCTTGCCAAGCCAGTTGAATCAAATGGTAACTCATATGTGCGGTATATAAAGGAAAATTTGATAATTCGATGATGAACAGATAATTACCTTTATATTGCAAGGATTTGCGCGCGCAGAATGGCACCATTCAGCTGTTTTCGAGCAAAAATACCGCAGCTTTTTCCTTATGACCAAGCTTTATCGCATCTGACCAACAAAGGGGTATACTATGTTAACCGACAAAGCTACCTAATGCATCTACACTAACTGCAAGTGACGCTGTCAGGAAGCTGCTCTTCAAACCTAACCTTACCTCTAAAACTCTTTTCTCCCAATGAGAACCTGCTGTCCCACTGGAACCTTGACTTTCCAGTTCAGCTCCTTCCAAACTTGAACAATTGAAGTAGTTTTGAGCTTCTCTTTTTACATTAGGTGTAACAATCATAAGAACGCTGTGCGAACCCTACAATTCAAGATCTTGATGGAAACTTTAACGGTCTGGCAGATTTTTCGCTCAATATTGTGCTTACGGGGTCAAAATAAAACGCGGTATTTGCAACTGAACAAATAGCTACCCCTTAATGCCGGCCATTTGCGCATGAAAAATGCAAATGTCGGCATTAATAGCGCGGCTATTTGTTCATGCACAAATTCTATTGCAATATTAAGTGGAAAATTCGATAGCCTATTCTTAAGAATAAATGATTTCAGTTTGATGGCTGCCTCAACATTTGTCTCTGAGGTGTATGCGAGCTTTAACATCTTAGACATTTGTACAGTGATATCGCAAATCTGCTGAAATCTGTGACTTACATTTGCACCTTAGTTAGATCTTTGTGAAGTTTGTGCGTCTCTTTGTGCGTTAAAAAAATAAGAAAGGTTGCGATAGGAATCACTATGGGTTCAAAAACTTAATGTAACCGATTTTCGCCAATTGAGTACGACTTGACAATCTATAACATCATTAATTTAAGGGGGGGGGGGCAGAAAAGAAATGCGAATTTATGATGACCGCTTCTTTAATTTAGCACTAGCCTTCGTAATCGAAAATCGTTCTTTTAACTTTCAGAAAGATTTTTGGCAGACAAGTTGAATGCAACAGAATTATTTCAAACTTACTTTGCCTTTTGCGCTCTCCCAATCTAAGCGCTCAATCTGTTCAACTATAAATGATTTATGTGCTGCATTTTTTGCTCTGAAATAATGACCTGATGGCATTGAGATACACTTGAGAGTCATATGCGGACACGCACCCTCTAAATGGGACGCGAAATCGTTGATAAAGGGAGTTGGAGAATACAAAAGCATGTATGAGTTCGTGTTTGATTGTAGCTTCCCACTGGTCCAATTCATTGGCCTTCATTTTAGTAAAAGATTGCGGGCAAATGTTGACAGATCCTGCTACAGGCCTAAAGTACCAGAATATTAACTAAAATAGACATTTTTTCATAAAATATGGGATGAGCCAAAGTTTGAAAGTTAGAAGGAAAAGAGCAAATAAGGGTTTTTATTACTGTTACAACTCTTCATTCAAAACCATGTCACAGAAATTGAAATCATGATGATCAGAGCTGGCCGAAGTGAATGCTTGAGCAACTAAGTTGAAGCCTTTTTCATACAAAGGTATACTTGTAAACAAAACTCAAGCCCTTCCAAGTCGATCATGAAAAGCTTATTAGTGGATTCTTGCATTAAATAGCATAGTCTAAATTTTTTTCAATAAGGAAAAGAGGCAGAGTGCACTGCGGATGAGAGAACTTGCATGTTCGGAATCAAACAGATCTTTAAGCGCAGTTCCACAGCTTGAATAGTCTTCCTATTTACTAATCCTTAATTTAGACAACATATCTTAAGCAACTTGGGCGATAGCATGAAATCAATCCTCTCCAAATATTTAATTTGTTGAGAACGCAAAAACTAAAATCCAATTTAGTATTTACTTTTTCATGCGAGGATGTTAGTTGGAAACGTATAATATAAGCGTGATTTTGGTTTTCCCAATCAAGATTCTTTGATAACTCCCACTAAGTCATACAATTTTTCTACCTTGAAATTCTCGCAGTCGCAAATGTGAAGCATGTATAGCAAATGGAGTTGATATTTGTTTCGCAACAAAAATCTGAAGAAGATTGCACCTACTCTGTCGACAGGGAAGAATACTTGATGGAAATAACCATATATTAGATTACTGGGCAACCCTGATCTCAAGGCAAATCATCACCAGTTGCAAACTTTTCGTAATCGTAAAAGAAATTCTGACCCTTCTTTACCCGGAAGAGCGCTTCCGAAGTTATAAGAACTTATGATGTTAAGAAATCGTCCGTGATAAGAAATTATGGTGTTAAGAAATCGTGCGTGCAAAGAGCAAATTTGGCAATGCATCCTGCAACCATTTTTTGGCTTAATGCTGGACTAGAAACAGCAGCTAAGTTAACTTATACAGACTACACTCAAAGATGAGCCATAAGGCAATAATGTGCCTAATTTCGCAATTTGTATATGCAAATTTTTTGCAATGATACTGCTCAGAAGACTGCTGCTCATAAAAAACGTTCAGCAGATAGGAAACAAGTTTGAAGCCACCGTTCTATGTTGCACGCAATGCTCTGCAGCTTGTCTGGATTAGCAGGACTAACCATCGCCTTTTGAGCCTCAATTTCTGTTGCTGACAATTTTGCGTTTCTCTCAGCATACGCTTTTGCTTCAAAAAGTTCATATGACATTTGATGAGCATTGTTGCATAGCGTTGTTTTATACAGGGTGTCCCAAAAATGTGCCTACTGTTTGTTTGTATATAACACTCTTATCACTCTTATGAAGTCTTTCTAGAAACTTTAGGTATCAGTTTGTAGAACTGGTTTCAACTTAGAGATCTACCAATATGGAGTAAACCAAAAATCCATCTTGATTACTGTAGAAGTCAGGTAGGAACTTGCAACTTGCATATGGCGTCGCTGTGAGGAAGGCTGTTTAGAAAAGAAAGTTCTTAAAAAATCCGAAAGAATATGTAACAAGGTTTTTTTTCATGCATGCTGACTTCAATACACAAATTTTTGAGCGTTCGTAGAGCTTTTCGAATGGCTTTGTCGAAATTTTGATGAATAGCAGGAATTGCTTGCTGTAGTACATCTGGCTTGACCTGTGGAAAAAGCTTTACGGTGAAAAGCGAGCTTCACATTGGAATCAGCGATTTTAATTAATTTTCAGCTTTTTTGGATCTTTTTCAGGGGGTAAAATATGAGCCTTAATGTAGCAAACAGTAGTCACATTTTTCTAAGACACCCTTTACACTCCATTTGCCGATTACAGGCAAAATGATATGCCAAAATTAATCGCAATTCGATATGACTTCCCGAGGCAAAAGGCCTATGTTTGAAAGACTTCAAGTATGTTTTAAGAATCGAACCGATTCTATTGTTTGTGAGACAGAATCACTCATCGCTGTAGCACTTAGCCAGAGTGGCTTGCCGGCCATTGTTTGAGAGCCATTTTCAGAGAGAAAATGGCTTATGACTGATTTGACAGAAATGCTTTGCAGATAACAAGGGTAGATTTAAGAATAGCATTTCAAAAGCTGAGTATGCATATGCGTCAACAAGTAACTTTTCCTAATGAGTAAAACTAATCACTAAACTGTCCGTTTAACATGATCTCCGCATTCGCGCTAAAAAGAATACTAAGATGGCTTTCAACATTTTTGCAGATAATTAGAGCAGTCTCAAAAACCCAAAAGTTTTATAAATACAAAATTGATCTTCAATCAGTATACCGATGAAGTAATCTTTCGCTTTGGCCTTTTCCAAACATACCTCTTAGTAGCCGCATCTAGAGCGCAATGTGAAGCAAAAGCCAAGGTATATTTTCCACAATCAGCTGTGCTTACAGACACAAAAAGCATGAAATCAACACCTCGCAGACGTCCTGTAAGGCGAACAGATATTTGGACATTAACCCTTATGAACAGCTGTGGGGCCGTTCTACATCACGCAATTTGAGTGAGTAACTTTATGAACGATAGCATTTCCAGCCGCTAGTCGGCTACCGTAAGCGGTGCGTTGAACGCGCCGCCCCCTGATTACCTAGCGCGATACTTGCACCTATGGAAAGGCTCTTACGTCAATCATGCTTGTATCATTGCTGCATTTCGGAAATACACAGTACTACAAAAACTTATAAAATTTTCAAAAAATTTCATCTTTCAGATTTTTTTCAATTTCAAGTAGTTCATCGCTCTTTTCTGATGTGTTTTTCTCCAGTATACCCATAAGAACGTCTGCAAAAATTTGTTTTGAACGCTAGAGCACATTTTTCTTTTGACATAATTAGACATGTAATATATACCGGATGTATGAGTCAAAAACTAGGAGATTTTGCTTGAAAATAAGTCATCTTATTGAATAAAAACAATTGTCACCGAGAATCTACCACAGAATTTCCTCTCTCCGGTTTATTGAACCATCATCATAGCTAAGCAAATTTTATTATAAGTTTTTGCAGTCTTCACGTTCAAAAAATTTAATGAAGAATCTTCGCAGGCACTACTGGAAAACACAAAATTATAACGAAAGCAGTTTTGAGTAAATACCTACCTTAAAGGCAGTGTCCCGGCAGATTTTGCGTTTCCACCTTTCTGCAAGTCTTAGGCCTTTCCGACTCGTAGAACCCGAATCTGAGCTTAGAATCGGGTGAAAAGACCGTTTTGGGGAAATTTCCCTAGTTTACTCGGACGAGAGTTTCAACGGAAATTGGGGAGGTCCCGGTACGAACACCTTGCCGCCTGTAATTTTTACTTTGGAATAGTATGCACAATGCGGAGAGCGGTAATGGGGTCCCGCACCGAGCAGGTAAGCGAAGTCGTTCGAGCGCGCGCCGATTAGGCCTGCGCGCGCCAGTTCTGGGGCTATTTTCTCGGCGCAGGGGGGACATCAACAAGCCGGACTAGGCTTAGAGGTTAGTGGGGTGGCCAGGAACCCCACCGCAGCGATATCACCCAGGGCGCACATCTGCCTGGACACTGCCTTTAAGTAAAAATTATGAAATCTAGGAAAGTTATACTACACTTGTAAAACTGCTACCTCTGATAGAAAGCGATTGGTAATCTATACGAATTTGCTTGTAATCCTGTCTAAAAGTGTGAGGTCACTCAGACAATCATGCCTGAGATAGCCGACATTGCCTTTCAACACTTCAATGAATGTCAGATGTTCGGGTCAGTCATAGAGTCAGCCCAGCTAAACTTCAAAACTTTTCAATCGACACATAAGTACCACTTTAATTGTTAGAAAAACAACAATCTAAGATTTTGTTAGTGATTTTTCTTAGAAGAAGCTTAGAAGAAGCTTCGTACAAGCTTACAGTAACTATCAAGAACGTTTTTTAGTAGACTAATCAATATGATGAAAAGCTGTAGTGCAGAAAACTCGCCCAACCAGCTAGAGGCGGTGCTAATGGTGCGTACCTTACTGAAAGATGCCTGCCTCAGCGCGCGCTATCGTTCATAACGTTCGCCATCCCTCAATTTCATTGCCTTGCGTGATTCTCCTGACAAGACAACTGTTACGAATCCATCGCAAGCCGATCGCCTTGCATTTTGAATGTGATAGCTTCCCGACTCGACCAATCGTGAATAATTATTACACCGAAAAGATGGGGGCATGCAGTGGACTCGCAAGAGACCTGTCTTACAATTGAGTAGATTTTCCGCTTAATATAGTGTGCTTGCACTGAAGGTGAAATGAGGGAAAATTTGCGCGTGAACAAGTAGCCACGCCAGTGAAGCCAACATTTTGTGCGCGCAAATGGCCGGGGTCACAGGCGTAGCTAATTCTTCACGCGCCAATTTTACCGCATTTCACCTTTAGTGCAAGTACGCTATATTAAGCGGAAAGTCTACTCGACTTTACTTCGTCGTGCTCGATTTTTAATTGCTACGATTATCCATAATCTTCGGTAGCCGCTTACCCTAAAAGCAAGATTTGGTATGTACGCAAGCTGTAAGCTTGCAAAAGCTATGCGCCTATGCACTTGGATTCCACCGCGGTGGATATACAGACATCTGGCAAAGTGCCAGATTGCGTATCACCGTGATTAATGAGAAATCGCAGGAGGTATATTCGAGGCCTAACAGTTATTAGATAGAATCACGCTACGTGATGAAATTGCATGGTGTATGCCCGGCCCTTTTTCCTTACCGCCCCATGCTGTTAGATTTGTCTTGCATAATCCGTCGGAACAAATACATTTCTGAGATATCAATCAAACGTAAAAAGATAGTTGCACAATGAACGTGAAACACTTACATAATAATAGTCCGCGTCTGGAGGAGCGATCGCGGTTCCACATCGTTTTATACAGTCAACGTCACATATGAAGTATCCGCCAAAACGTTTAGCCCTTTTTTTCTTCGCGC